CTGCGGGAAAAGCTTCCACCAGAGTTCCACGCTGGTCACTCACCAGAGAGCCCACAATGGCGAGCGGCCCTAACCGGTGTAACGACTGCGGAGAGGGCTTCAGCCAGAGCTCCAACCTCTTGGAGCACCACTGCAGCCACATGGGACAGGAACCCTATAAATGTGCCAACTGTGGGAAGTGCTGCAGCCAGAGCTCCAACTTGGCACAGCACCAGTGTGGCCATGCGGGGGGTGCCTCCTGCGTGTGCCCCGACTGTGGGGAGCAGTTCAGCTGCAGGTCCAGCCTCAGGGAGCATCAGAAAAGCCATGCCAAAGAGAGGCCCCATGGGTGCCTGGAGCGTGAGCAGAGCTGTGCTCAGAACACAGAGTTGGCTGAGCACCAGGCGGTCCCCATGGAGAGCAATCTCTAGAAGGGCTCCGTATGTGGGGAAGGTTCTCGGAGGAGCTCAGATATCATCATCCACCTGCGGGTAGGCAAAAAGCCCTACAGGTGTGCGGCATGCGGGGAGCGCTTCAGTGGGTACGCGTCCCGGGTAGTGCATTATAGGACTCACCACCAGGAGACAATCCACACATGCATGGACTGTGGCAAGGGCTTCAGACGCAGGTCCGACCTCGACAGTCACCAGAAAATCCACGTGGGGAGGAGATCCGGGCACACAAACAACCTGATGCCAGGTGATATGAACAGCACAGAGCTGTGCCCTGAGCACATACTGCTCTGAAACTGTTTGCAGGGGATGCCAAACACAGAGGCAGTTTGATTTTAAGTCTTTGTTTCATAAACTTCTTTTGACAACACCAATGACCAATGGTGATTGAGGCTTCTGAAAATTCTGCTGTGGGCAGGACATGGGATGTCTGATTACTGATCTGGAAGCAATGTTGTGCTCTGATCCGGTACAGACTAACGTACTGAGCTAGCCGGGCCATTGGCCTGATCCGGTACAGACCTATGCACTGAGCTAGCCGGGCCATTGGCCTGATGTTTGAGTAATTTGGAAAATTATGTGATAATAGGGAAGTAGAAGGAACAGCAGCTCAGCTGTTCACATGTATCTGAAGAAGTGGGTTTTTTATCCATGAAAGCTTATTCCCAAATAAATCTGTTAGTCTTTAAGGTGCCACCAGACTCCTTGTTGCTATTATGAGAAGCCATTCTGGAACCAAAGCTCTGTGGGTCACGTTTTTACTGTCGCACCATAGAACTATTGAAGTCCAGGGACGTCTCCAAACTCACAACATCCACTCCCAGAGACGGGGGAGAGGGGAAGGTTTATGACAGCTCTGAACCAAAAATTACTCATCGGAGAAAAAAGAAGCATGAAGGGAGCAAAGAAAGGGATGTTGGGATGTTGGCATCCTCTGGGTGCCTTAGCTGTGAGTTCCCAATCTTCCTAATGTTTGTTTCTTTTAACTGTAATCTGAAGTCTGAATTTTCTGCCTCTCTAGTGAGTGCTATTTTGATAACTGCAACGTAATAACATAGTGATATGAATTCTCAGCCTTAACTCCAGCTTAGTTTTTGTCTGGGCATACTTACTAGCGTTTAATCCTTTCCTTTTATTAACGGCACATCAGTCTCTCTCTCTCCAGTTGCTTGCACTATTCCTTCAGCTTTGATTTTATTCCCTGCTGTGGCAAGACCCACTCACTGCAGTGGTTTTGGTTAGTTCTGAAATGAGATGTGCTGAGCTGGGTTCTGTGAACTAAGCTCTCCGTAAAGAGTAATGTCAGCCAAATGTAGTCTTTATTTTGCAAAAGCACAAGTAAAAATGGGTTTCACGGCCCAGGATGAGCTCTTGGAAAGTCACCGATGTTTTATTTCACCAGCCCTGGTAACTATGGACAGCAGATGTTTTGGTGCATGAGGCTGTTAGTAGCTGCCCTTCTCGATGCAAATAGTGGGCCTTCTCCTGCCATTATTGCTGGTTCTGCAAGTCCCAATCCTGATTTAGGCCCCAATCCAGCAAAGCACTTAAGTGTGTGGGTGACTAAGTAGAACTTGCATGCATAAAGTTAAGTACATGCTTTGGTATGTTGCTAGAGCAAGGCCTCCCTCTGCCTGATTGAATTAGGGCCATGGAGTATGAAGAGTGGGCACTACTCCTGAAAGCTTCTCTCCAGTGAGTCCAGCAAGACAGGTGTGAGCTGGGAATCCGCTAAAGATTTACAGCAAGGTTGGATCATCACTGGCCAACAATGGGACTGCATTGGTTGTTTAGATACATCTATAATGCTCCTTCACCACTGCTGCATAGCCTCAGAGGCCACTATATATTTCAGGGACATATTTGAAATCCCATATGGCCCATCCTACTTTAAAAGTGACCTGCAAAAAACCCACCTTACACCACCAGCAATACAACCTCCCCGCCCCCGCCCACCCCGGGCTTGTGCCCTGTTTTGATGTATAAAGAGGGGCTGAAAGGTTTGTTGGTTTTCTACATTCCCAAGTTCTGGCCCTTCCCTAGTTTTGCTGGGAAATCTGCTGGATGTTTCAGACCCTGGCTCTCATGAGCTCCTTAATTGATGGGGTGTTTATCTTTAACAAAGATTCCTGTATCCAAAATGTTCATTCATCGCTAGAGTTAATTGTGTGTTAAAAACAAAAAAGAAAGCGTTTAAACAGTCTGACTAAAAAGCCCTTCCCTCTCAACTGCTCTCCTCTTGGCTTGTGTGATATCACTGGCTGAAGCATTCTCTAGACACTGTCTTTCGCTTCAGTGTCAACCGTCCACTCCAGTATATGGAAGAAGCTTCAACTGAATTGTGAGGTTTAATTATAGCCTGTGTCTAATATTAACTAACTTCAGGGCACTGCAACCTGCTTCTCCAAACGTTATTACAGCGCATACCTAATCGGCGCCTTCCACCAGGACTAAACCCACTGAGACATTTTGAAACCCTCCCAGTACCAGAATCTCTGAAATATATACTAGAAAGAGCAGAATCAGAGGCTCGATTTGGGGTTTCCCTCTGACATGTTCCCTAGGACAGTATATTCCCTTAGTTACTAGGCAATGGAAAACAACTGGCTTTTCCTCTCTCTTTCTCACCTGATTTGAAGGAAAGTAAATCTACCCAGTGATGATGCAGTAAATGGACTTGGACGAGTCTGGGAGCGTGTAACAACAAAAGAAGCCACACAAGCAAAATATAATCCTCTCCCTTTAAGAGCTTTCAGATCCCTACACCACTTGGAAAAGTGGCAGAAACTCCATGAAGTCCACTAGTGCTGTGGTTCGCAACCAGGGGTACATAGTGTCGAAACGGATCTTTTAATGGCCCACAGCTGGGCAGGTGTTTACCGATACCAGTGAGAATTCAGAAACCAATATGCTTAATGCACAGTCATTTATTTGAGAGAGAATCACACAAGCAGTTAAGGTTACATGGTACATTCTTTTCCATAAGCCTCAGTTCCCCAAGCAGAACCCCTCAGTAACTCTGTTGGACTTACACAGTATCCTGATTGCTCCTCTTTCTTCTGTCCCCTCTCAGGCACTTGGTCTGTCCCTCGAAGCAGGGCCTTGGTTACCCTGACGACTTCTGGTTCTAAGGTCTTGCAAAGGTCCCTCAAGGCAGGGTTTCGGTTACCCCGACGACTTCTGTCTCTCAGTCTCGAACCTCTTCGGATATTAATTGGGGAATGGATCTGACTCATTTACTTTGCTTAGCACTTATATACCTTTTTGTTCTCAAAGGAGTCACATGTTCCAGAAATATGCCTCGTAGGGGTTTATGATTGGTTTACTTCATAATTTTGGAAGGGATTGCAAAGCAGACACACAGACCAAAGTTCAGCCATAGTTTACTCTCTCATAAATCATTCACTTAAGCTCTTAGCATGAAGTTATCCAAAAAGGGTCATTCTGACCCATGTCAGCCATGTCACCAGGCTCACTGATCGCATGCTCTTCCATGTTCTTTACTTTGTGAGCGGGTTCTCTGCTGAAATATTCCAAAGTTCGGGATTAAAACACACACGCCCATTGAGCCATTGTTAACCATTCCAGTGCAGTTTCAGCACCTCGAGTAGTATCCCCACTCCATTTAGCTAATGCTAAAATAATCCTGCTCCCAGAATCCTCTAGCAAGTTGAGACATACCAAGCCCTACCAAACTCATGCTTGCCACATTCATTCATATCAGTCTCAGCAATTCATAATAATTTGGTACCATCTCAACACGTGTGCCCATGGGGGTACGCAGAGGTCTCCCCGGGGTACATCAACTCAGATATTTGCCTAGTTTTACAACAGGCTACAGAAAAAGCATAACACAGTCAGTACAAACTAAAATGTCAGACAATGACTTGTTTATACTGTCCTGTATACTATACACTGAAATGTAAGTACACTATTTATATTCCAATGGATTTATTTGATAATTACATGGTAAAAATGAGAAAGGAAGCCATTTGTCAGTAACAGTGTGCGGTGACGCTTCTGTATTGTTATGTCTGATTTTGTAAGCAAGCAGTTTTTAAGTGAGGTGAAATTTGGGGGTACCCAAGACAAATCAGACACCTGAAAGGGGTACAGTCGTCTGGAAAGGTTGAGAGCCACTACATGCAGCAGATGCTCTGACCTCTAGTGATGGGCAGCATGTAAAATTCAGATAGATGAATATTGAGTTACCTAGACAGCTTTTATTGCTCCTTCCTCCTGCCCCTTTCAGGTTCTCTGGCTGGGACACCTGGTCACTGTCCCATTCCTGGGAACTGTCTCTTTCCCTTAGCTGGATCAGCTCCCGCAAGTGCGATGGGGAGAAAGAGCCTGTGTCACTAGCAGCAGCAGCTCTGGGGCTTGTGCATTTCCTTCCCCTCTCTCAAATACCTGGAGTCTGAGGCTCAGGTGGATGTCTGCAGGGCCTGTGGGGCTTCTCAGGGGGCTGGATGAAGCCTGAAGGCGGTGAGTGTTGCAGCCCGAGCTGGTATTGAGGGACACAGGAAGGGGATGGAGTAGCTGATGGTGTCTGTAGCTCTGCATTGGGAGAAGGGGAGGGGAGGGGAGGGGAGGCAGGAAGTGGGATGATAAGGAACTGACGGGTCGGGGACTGGACAGCTCCTGGGTTTAATTTACAGCTGAGACAATAACCTGCTCTCCCAGGGGAGGGAACAGACACGGGAAAGCGAGGGACTGAACGGGGCAGGCGCGAGTGTCCAGGTGCCCATCTCACCCTGATGGTCTGCAGAATAGCGTCCACGTTTCCCTTCCCATTGTCCCACTCTGATGAAGATGGGAAACGGCCACAGGGGAGACGCTCAGGTAGGGGATTTCTGGGGACTGGGTGTGTCCTGCAGAGGGGAGGGGATGTAAATACACTGTGGGGCTGACGCTGTCGGTTAAACCTGCTGGGAGGAGAGACTTGCCAAGTCACTCACTTGGTGGGACAGCCACATGCTGGCCCCACCCATCACTCCTCCCTGCTCCAATGCCATTCAGACAATGGTGACCAAGGCCATCCTGAAACTCCTGCTTCTAGGGGTACTGAGCAAGCAGCCAAGCACCACTGCTAGCCTGGCCGCGCTGCCTCTCCTGACAGCATTAGGGAGGTTAGACAGACTGGGGGGAGAAGGCCGCCAGCACCCCTGCACATTCACAGGGGGTGAGTCTCAGCAGCAGCTCAGCCCATTCTAGGAGGGGGTTGCCAAGGCTGGAGGGTTACAGCAAAGAGGGGGCCTGGTGGGTGGGATACTGCCTAGGAGCAGAACAAATTGGGAAAGGGGTCATGGAGGTATGGGGAGAGGATCCCAAGGGCAGGGACAGGTGAGGAGTTAAGAGAAAGGAGGAAAATGGAGATGGAAGAGACTGGCACGGAGAGAAAACACAGATGGTGAAATCAAGGGAGCTGGAGGAATGGGATTGGGAGGCCAGGCTCCCAGCAACTGTCCCACAGCTTCCTGTCTGTAAAATGAGTTAATACTGACCTAAGCTCCTGGGCAGGATGGTGCTGGGGAGAGAAGCTGAATCGGAATGGGTTTTCCTTGCTCACGCATCTGAATAATATGACTGGAGGAGCTGTGGAGTCTGGAGCAGCTCTGGGCGTGGCTTATTGGAACCTGACCTTTTAGGATCAGACACCTTGGTGGGGAAATCCACAAAACTGAAGAATCTAATGCCTTGAAATGCCCAAGGCTTCTAGCCTGGGAATCAGCACCGCTGTGACTGACAGGGACTTCTGGGAATTGTTTCCCACCCCCAGATGTAAATAATAGTCTGTGCAATCCCAAGAGTTGAGAGCATGAACTCTCAGCCCTGCTGAGGCCCAAGCATGGGCCCTACAGCTCCTGCAAGAAGTGAGACAGAGAAAGGGAAACAGGGCGCTCAGGACAAAGACAGATCTGTTCCTCAGGGGTTAGTTGCAGTTGCAGCTTCCCAGTATTGTCAGCATTTACAGCTATAACAGGGAGAGGGCAGATGATCTCTGCCAGAACAGGGGAGAATGAAGGGCTGGCCCTGAGAATGAGGGCCAATTGGGAGATGACTAACTGGATACTTATGGAAACTATAAGCAGCAATGAAGCCTGTGAAATATGGGAGAATGGAGAGGAAGTGCTGGTCTGGGGCTTCTCAGGATCAGTAGTGGGATTGTTTCAAGGGCAAAAGGTACGGAGTGGGAGATGCTTCTTTTGTCAGGTGCCAGTGACCATACAGGAAGTTTCAGAGTAGCAGCCGTGTTAGTCTGTATCCACAAAAAGAACAGGAGTCCTTGTGGCACGTTAGAGACTAACTTAGTCTCTAAGGTGCCACACGTATTCCTGTTCTTGTTGCATAAAGGAAGTGACGGTCTATTGCACCAGAGGGCAGTAGGTACTTTTGGATCCTCATCAGAGGGTCTTCTACAGGGATGTCATGCAGGAGAATTACAGGACTCATCTCCCTGGGTAAGGGCTTGTTCTCCTTCACTTACGAGAAGGCTGCACTCTCTGTGAAGGACATAGGTCAGTTTCTGGTCAGGGATCTTCCCAAGTCCCTTAGAATTCTGGGTAACCAGTCCAAAACTGTGAGAGAGAGAGTGCCACAATCCCACCTCTTCCTAGAGAAAAGAAGATGCAGAAACACAATGGCAGAGCTAATTTCTCCATAGCCAGATCTTGCACTGAGGGAAGAGTTATTATATTTATTTGTCCAGGGTCATTTCTGTACCTGTAATCACTGTATTTCTCCACTTCATCCTCTGAGTGTGCTCTGGACCCTCTGAGGGTTTAGTAATAGGCAAGTGGCTTAATGTTTGCAGCTCAGCTGAATCATTGAGTCCTGCAATGCGTGGAGGAGTCTGACTCTCTCTGGGTCACATCTCCCACCAGAACACTGCCTTTCCCAGAGAGGCTCAGCAAACTCTTTCCCATCCATTTTGATAATACAAGCCCCAGTAAAGACAGACACTGGGTTTAAAATCACAGAACGATCTTTGTAACAAGCCTGGATCTCCTATTTTGAGCAGGATCTCTGACACCTAAACCTGACAGGATCTCCTGTACAGAACAAGAGGAAAAGCCATGGGTCCCTGGAATCAGGGGAAAGTAAGATACCCGTGATACCTGTAAAAGTGAGGAGGAAACTCAAGTCAGAAACCAATCATGAGTGAAAAAAAGAGGTGAAGTCCCAACCAAGCCATTGTGAGCGCTCACGTTTGTGCTTCATCAAATTCAATACTATAAACAGCTGTTCGGTCATGTCCCTCACAGATCTCCCGGAGGTCTTTCCAGAAGACAGTAAGCCCTCCCTTCACTCGGACTTTGTAGAGTTGTACATATGGGATGTTGGCACTGCAATGCTCTCTCCTCTGGAGAAGGGATTTAAAAGAAACTGGCTCCTGAATTTCAATCTGAATTAAACCAGACCAAAAATCGTGATGAACCCTCTACAGTTCCCTTTCTCCTGAACACGGAGAACGAGGGTGTCTGATTTTTTCTTTTTTCCAGCAGACGTTTGGATTGTGAGTGAGAGTGCAGAGAATCTTGAGCGAGGGGAACCAGATGGAACAATTTCAGGGAGATCCAAAGAGAACGTTTCCCAGAATCCTGATCAAGAAAGAGCCTGTGAGAGTTGTAACTGCCCAGAAAGACAGTGGGTAAGCCCTCCAAAAGAGAGAGAGTAAATCCACTCACTGTGGATGAGAGCTCACAAACATTAAAGGCACCACTGTCCATCAGAGAGCTGTCTCCACAGGCTGTCAATGAACACTTAAGTGTTGTGAGAAAAGGTACAGCAGGGGCTCAGGCCTCAATAGCCACCAAAGAGCCCCGATGGGAAAGAAATCCTATCCATGTGCAGACTGTGGGAAGGTCTTCAGCTGGAGCTCAGCCCTGATCACCCACCAGAGAACCCACACGGGTGAGAGGCCCTACAAGTGCCCTGCCTGCGGGAGAGGCTTCAGCCAGAGCTCCAACCTGGTCAGACATCACCGCACTCACACTGGGGAGCGGCCCTATGAGTGCAGTGAGTGCGGGAAGAGCTTCCGCCTCAACTCCCACTTCCTCAAGCATCAGCGCACCCACGCCAAGCCCTACCCTTGTGGGGTCTGCCAGAGAAGCTTCCACAGCTCCTTGGCCTTGGGCAGGCACCAGAGAGCCCACGCACAGCACCAGTGCTACACTTGTGCGGACTGCGGGAAGAGATTTCGGGTGCGCTCGGCACTGGCCCAGCACCGCAGGACGCACACAGGTGAGAGGCCCTTCCAGTGCTCCAACTGTGGGAAGGGCTTCAGCCAGAGTGCCAACCTGCTCACGCATCAGCGGGTCCACACTGGGGAGCGGCCCTTCCAGTGCACCGAGTGTGGGAAACGCTTTGCTGTCAGCTCTCACCTCAGCACTCACCAGAGGAACCATCGCGCGGAGCGGCCCTGCCAGTGCACTGACTGCGGAAAAGGCTTTGCCAACCCTGCCAAGCTACTCGCCCACCAGAGACGCCACACGGGGGAGCGGCCCTTCCAGTGCCCTGAGTGCGGGAAGTGCTTCAGTGACAGCTCCCTCCTGGTGAAACACCAGCGTATCCACACAGGGGAGCGGCCCTTCCAGTGCCCCGAGTGCGGGAAGAGCTTCAACCGGAACCTGACCCTACTCAGACATCGGAGAGTGCACACCGGGGAGAGGCCCTACATCTGCCCTGCCTGCGGGAAGGGCTTCAGCCAGAGCTCCCACCTCATCACTCACCAGCGAGTGCACACAGGGGAGCGGCCCTACAAATGTCCCACCTGCGGGAAGGCCTTCAGCCAGAACTCCAACCTGATCCGGCACCAGAGGAACCACAAGCACCAGGACACACTGTAACCAGCTCATCAGCACTTGCCTCACACAAGAGAAACCTGCACAGGCACAAACTGTGGGAAGAAGCTTCAAACAGAGCTCAGACCTTACAAGGCACCAGAGAAGCCATGTGGGGAAGGAAGTGATGGCTGTCAAACAGATCAAGTCCTACCATCTGAATAGTGCAGAGGAAGTGCTGGAAGCAGCAAGCTGTTCACTGTAGGGAAGTGATTGCTCGGTGATATTTTTGGATGGAGTAGCGGGAGGCCCAAGGTGACAAAAAGAGGGGGCTAAATCTGATAAATCTACAGGCGTTTGAAAGGGATACAGACCAAGGGCAAAGAGAACTCATTTAGGGTTGCCAACAGATGCAGCTAATAGTAGCAGGATGAAATTAAAAGGGGAAGCATTTGTTTTCAAAAGTTCTTGACAGGACTATATATTATTGAGCACTTGGATAATACCCCCAGAAAGCAATGGTAGCTTCCTCATTTGGGACTTGTTGAAATGTGTTTTTTAGGTTAATTTACTGTAGGGAGACAGGGAGATGGATCAGATGAATTAATGAGTCCTTTTCTACCTCTGATGTGTCTAATTCTCTCAAAGGAGGGAACAAAGGCAAAGTTGTTAAATTATGGTGGCAAAGGAGGGTGAATTTATTTTAATCTCAAGTCTATTGAATGACCCAACCTATCCTTAAAATATATTATCTATTGATACTGGAGACGTGATTCCCGCCATCCTTCTCTCCAGAACAATGGGGTAAGCCATCTTGTTTAGACAGTTTCACTAACCTATTTAATGCTGGTATTTTTATTGTAAAGCTAAGTGATATCAGAGACCAGAACAGAATGCAAATAAGTTCCCCTACCTCTCTAAGAGGAGTAAGAATTTAAGGTTTCCCAATTTTAAGCCCAGATATGCAAATTAGACACAACTTGTTGCAGAGAGGAAGGTATCTGAGGACTAAAGCCACAGATGTTACAGTCCTTACTCTGCTAAGAGGCGCATTACCTATCAACAAAATCATAAGTTAATTGGAAAGGAGAAATAATTGGACAAAATTACAGCAAGATTATGTGGATTGTGAGTAGTATAAAAAGGACTTTCCATACAAATTGCAGAGATTGAAAAAGAAACACTAACATAGGAGCAGTTTGGTTCACGGATACTATTTTGTAATTCTCTTCAGTTAGTTCTGTCTTTTGAAATGTTTCCATTGCTTTCTGCACTGTGATTTTACTATCTGAATTGTCGCTGTACATCTTAGCTCTTCCCCCCACTCCTCAAAGACAGACCAAGTATTTTTAGGAAGAAGAACCCTCCCATTTTACTAAAGCAGCCTAGACGTGAAATTATCAGCATTCATAGACCGTTTCTTATTTATGCACATCAATCCTTTTTTTCAAGCAGTGTCTTGTGTTGGTATCCTGATAACAGTATACTTACCAAAATGCATTGTTTTGTTCACCATTAATGGTCTGTGCACTCAGGAGAGAGCCAAAGGAAAGCTATGAATTTGTATGTTGACAGCAACAAAATGAATTTGGGAAGGATTAAATCCATACACTTACTGGTCACTCGTTCTCCTAGGCTGGTATTTGCTGTTTGCTCCAATTGAAGCGTTCATTCCAGCAGCACAATGTCCCCCACTGTAAAGAGCCACTGAGATGTATGTCACTGGGCTTTCAGTCTGTAAACCATTCCAATCTCACGCATGTTACTGGAACGTTTTAAGGGAAACAAGGGCGCTTTTTAAAATTATTTTGCCATGTTCCTTTACAATGAGAAACAAACCACAATTTTTTTAGTGCCTGATGAGTGAATTAGAGGAGCATTGTGATGAATGAGACTGACCAAGCATGTGACACTTTGGACATCTGAATCCTACTTTGGTGGGAAACTGCTCTATTGTAAATAACCCCATTACTATTTTCTCAGCAAACAGCTAAGATAAGGGCCATGTGTCAGGGCTGACCCAGTCTCTTCTAAACACACAAATGATTACAGAAAGCAGGAAGGAGGTGAATCCATTCCATGGGGAAGGGGACACTTCACCATAAAAGCTTTCCCAGTTCCAAAAGCGAAAACATTCCCCTTCTAAAAAACCCAAATCATTGCACCATTGGACGGATCTTGAAATTCACAATTAATTAGAATCAGGTACCATAAGTTACTTCAGTATGGAAAGTTACTTTCATTTTTGGGGGGAGGAGACACTAAAACATTTTTTTCTGCTTCCTCTCTGTGCATTAGGCTGAAAAATACAGGGATTGGCATTATTTCCGTGAATCACATTTTTGAACTTGCTCTCTCCTAAGAGTTATATTTCAATCTACAGGATTTGCCCAGCCTTACTTACATTAGTGTAACATTCAGGGCATAATAGAGCATACTTTCATTTTTCCACTCTGAAATACTCCTGGAACTTGTTTTTTTTAATTTACAATTTCTGGGTTGATCCTGCATCCTGGGCTTCCGGTCACTGGGAGAAGACAGCTGACAGAGCAGGAAACTGAAAAAGCAAAAGGGGAAGATTAAAAAAGAAAAGGGGTGGGTGTGTGTAAAATGGAAATAAATAAGCACAAAAGGAGCAACATGGAGGGAATAAGATAGCTCTTAAAAAGTTTCTTTTGTCATCATCTTTGAATTCTGAGTGGAAGTACACTACAGTGCAAGTAAGAACATAGCGTGCCAATGACTTCTACATTTTGTAAGGGGAATACCACAACTAGCAGAGAAACATTATATAGCTAGCTAAAACAATTTAAACGTTTTAAAAGAAGCTAAACTACTAGTGATTTCCATTTTACTTTTGGTAGCAAACAGTTTAGAGTAAAAGGATTAAAATCAGAAGTCTTAGGATGGAAAAGTAGACAGCCATTTATAGTGGTTATTTTAATAGGCATATTGAAGTACAAAAAGATAAACTCTACTTGTATGGCACTGCTGCATAACACGACTGCAGATATATCCCAGTGAGTCTGGTCCCTCTCAAAGAACATTACAGTTCACAACAGAATGAATCTAAAGTCTGTAGCAAAAGTTTGCATTATAAGTTACCATGACAATAAACTCTGACTTATATCAGATGTTCTATTTGTCTGTTTGAATACTGCAAGTGTACAATTCAGCTATATAAAAATATCAGGTCCGTGAAAGACTTTTTTTGTACCTCAGTTCATCCACTGTACAGTAAATTCTGAAGACAAGTCAAAGGATTTTTTCATCGGTTTTGTTAACTGTGAATGTGCTATTAAATTGAATTCAATTCCCCCACAGCGTAATTTCTCTGACTCAATTCTTTGATATATTTACAATGCATAAGTTCTCATTCCATCTGCAACAATACATTTTTGGCTTAAAAACATGGAGTTGTGAGTATGCAACAGAGAACCAAAGACACATGCCTTTCTAAATATATCCTTAAAGTGCAAAATATGTGTTTCCACACAATGGCATGAAAATATAGTCTGAAAAAGTCAATGCACTCAATATAGAAAATAAGGAACGTGCATTTAAACATGCTCAAAGTACGGAAATGATTTCTTCCTTTTTTTCCTGGCATAAGTGACTTTTTGGGTAATAATAAGTGATAAGTAAGCATTTAAAGTAGGCTCTATAATAGTGTTGCTAAAATGATTTAAAGCTTACAAGAACAGGATGAAGCTCTGATTTAAGAAGAGCTATGCTTTGATAAAGGCACCACATTTCTTCCTGTTGTTTTTCTTTACTTTAAACATATTTTTAACGCTCCTCAGAATCTGTAGAATGTTATCTCAGTTCTGTTAAAGATGATCTCTCGGCCATATTTAACATGAAATAACTTGATTTGACTGTGGTCATTATGGTATTTCCAAGTTTTCCCAATGCAATGGTTTCACTAACCAAAGACAACAATACTTTAATAGTACACTTGATTTGGCCAAACAAGGACAGAAATTAGAATCTCTCTCCACCAACAAATTTTCTATTCTGAAAAGCTTAATTTAAAATATATATATTACTCTTTCAGCTTTGATACAAAATGATGTTTTGGAAGTTCAAAGTTGTTCAAATTAACCTGAATTACAGATTCTCCCCACTTGCCTTATTTATTTTCTGAAAATGATGGAAAAAAAGCTGATCTCCAACACCACACAGTAAGCCCTGCCACTCTTCAAACATATCTCACTCAAGACACCAAGCAGTGCTTGGATGCTGAGCAGAAGTTCCCTTTTCCTTGGGAAAGTAAGACAAAAAAGTCTCAGACACTAATTTCTAGATATTTACAGTGCTTTAGAAACAAATTGCACTTCACAGGTTAAAATTCCATTAATCTTGCCCTACCCAATTTCTGGTACCAGTGTAAGCAAAAAGTTGGGACTCCATTTTGTGCAGGAATGTCACTTACTTTAATCTTCACCCAAGGGATCTCAATTTACTTCTTGCATTCAAAGACTCATCCCACTTTTTTTTTTTAAACAATCTCTATAAAATTGAACATTTTGGCTGAATGGTAACCCTGACGACTCTAGCTTAGAAGAGGCATCCTACCTATCTAAAACAAAATAGCTAAGGATGAACTTTGTGAAACTCTATTGTAACCATGTAACATTTTGAACACAACACTGATTGTATGGAGCATTGGGAGACTTATTGGAGAGATGATGGTATGACAAAGAAAAGTGTTTGCATTGCACCTTTAGGATGCAGAATTCCATTTCAGAATGTTTTCTTGAACAACACTTGTGTGACACGGGGTTTTATTTGATAGAAATTAACCAAGCCACTCTCTCCCCCATTTGGGGTGGGGGCACGGGGAACCACACCCAATTTTGGTTTTAGTGACTATTACTGCTCTCCATCTTGTTGCTACTCTCTGTCAGGCTGATGATGTTGTTCTGGGTGGTCATCTTGGTGCTGCTGTTTCTGCTCCTGCCTTTTCTTTTCAGCCAGTGCTTTTGCCCTTGTAGTCATTGCTCTAGGCCTGATGTCACACCTCTCTTCATCCTGCTGATGCTTTTTACAATGTTTCTCAAATGTAGACATTTTGGCATAAGTCCGGTTGCAAACCATGCAATGATAGGGCCTCTCCCCACTGTGCGTTCTCATATGAAGTTGGAGATAAGAGGACCTAGAAAAAGTTCGGCTACAAACAGAACAGCGATGAGGCTCGCGGGCTTCATGTGTTTTTAAGTGCTGTTTGAGAGATGAGGCCTGCTTAAAGGCCTTACTGCATGTGGTACATTTGAAATTCCTCTCCCCAGACTCAAGGAGCTGATGCGACATGAGGTGAGCGGAGGAACGGAAGTTTTTCCCGCACTTCTCACATTTGTAGGGCCTCTCACCAGTGTGAAGGCGGATGTGCAGGATCAGTCCTGCCTTCTGTGTGAAGGCCTTCTCGCACTGGGTGCATTTGAAAGGCCTCTCCCCTGTGTGAACACGTCTGTGAGTCTTCAGGTGTGAGGCACGCCCAAAGTTCTTCCCACAGTCCTCACATTTGAAGGGCTTTTCCCCCGTGTGGATTGCTTTGTGCCTCACAAGGTGCGAGGACTGTAGGAAGAGCTTCCCACACACATTGCACTTGTACTTCCTCTCACCCGTGTGCGAGCGCAGATGCAGGGCCAGGTGGGAGGAGGAGATGAATTTCTTGCCGCAGAGTGGGCAGGTGTGGGGCCGCTCGCCAGTGTGAATGCGTTTGTGTAGTACCAGGCCAGAGGACAGGGCAAAGGTCTTCCCACACATGGGACACTTGTAAGGCTTCTCTCCTGTGTGAACACGCTGGTGCTTCACCAGAGCGGATGTCTGCGCAAAGGTCTTTCCACAGAGCTCGCAGCGATACGGTCGCTCCGCAGCGTGAGACATCTCATGAAGCTCCAGCTCCGTCAGCTGGGCAAAAGACCTGCCACATTCAGAGCATTTAAACGGTTTGCTAATGAGAACTGA